GCAGACCTTTACACGGCCTCGGGAGTTGGTGTACAGAGCCCTAATGAGGATCAAGAATTTATGGGGAACACTTTTGCTCCACAGACACTGCCATAGTGCTTGGCGGTCCACAGGGTCAAGTCTTAGGGGAACTGAAATCGAGGATCAGCAAACGTAAACTGCCTCAGTTTTTAGAATTACCGTTATCCTCTGATCTCCAGCTGGACTGGCGGACTTCGGGCCAGTTGTGTTGCAACGTGACTCGACGGCACGTCATGCGCCGGTGGGTAAGCCCCGGAATCACGGATCCAAACATTTACAGAAGCATCACAATTTCGAAAGTTGCTAATTCGGGTTACCACCTCAAACTATGGAAGCATTCTCTCAGAAGGGGTGATTTCCAACTGCCCAATCTAGTGAAATCACCAAGGAATCTACTCATAAAGAACACCTCAAGACACAAACGACCAAATTAAGAGGTCTGGGTTCATCTTCTAGCAGAATAGAGCACGAGAACTTTCACCAACACGCTTCCGTAAGCTCAAGTCGTTCCACGCGAAGAACTCCACAGCACGTGTTGCGATTTACATTTCCAGAGCACAGCTGGACACTTGGATGAACTGTACATCCTTATCAGCAGGCAGTCATTGGAACCGGTTGCTGGCATACTGTGGCAGACAAGCGCATTCGAACACCCATTTGCATCATCGTTGTCGAGACTGGGCAGCCGCAAACTCAGCGAATGCTGTGATTGAATAAGGTTAGTGAAACGGGGATTTCGAGAGTGCTTGCCATGGCGTGATGAATGGGATAAGGTAAAGACACAATTCCTTACCAAAGCTTCCAACAGCAAAGTACAGGACAACATGAGGAAAAGTGCGATTAAATTCGAGTTTGCGATCAAACAGTTTAACCCCCCTGATGCGTAGCATCCCATAGACCGGCGAATATACTGCGCCTACCTGATGAGCCCCAAAAAGGGCGAAACCGGTCGCGGGCTGTCGACGGATTTTCAGCAACCTTATGAGTAGTACATTGATCGGTTCTAACAGCGCTAAACTGCGTCTACTATCTGATGGCTGTTTCCATATGTTGGCTATCCAACAACATCAGAGGGAACCCAGTTACTATGACCTTCACAGTACAAGTGATTCGATTCGCCCGCAGCTGAGGAATTTCATTAGGGAGACACATGAAGCTCTCAAATTCTGCTACCTTACGAGTATGGTACTCAGCAATCTAGGTTTTTCAACGGAACAGTACACGTGCTGGCTATGACTCGATAAAAGACAAAGTTTCTACATCACTAGAAAACAAGGTGAAGTCCACACAAGTAGATTGATCAGACTGTAGTAAAGATCAAGGTCTGAACAGGGAAGAAGCTCTGCTGATGCAATGGGCCTTTTTCTTCTCCGGATTTTCATATCTTCCAGTTAAATTGGTTGAAATACGCACAATTATATTTTGCTTCATGATTCAGCTTCTGGGGTGCAACTCAACGGAGGCTTGAGATACTACATGGTTGTTTAAACCTAGAAAAGAAAGATCGAAAAGCCAGAATTGGCTCCGAACCAAGGACCCTCCGGTCAATAGTTCTGCGCATTAACCACTGAGTACCTCGAGTTCATTTTTTCTATTTTCACTCTTATTGGCAGGTGGAAGTACTGCTGACAGGGATGAGATACCACTGAGCAGTGGCGTTCGATGGAGTATCTCTGGAAAAGCGACCAGAGTAGAGTGCCCCTAAAAGTAAACAAGATAAACCATGCTGGATTTAATCCCTCTAGCACACACAAGGAAACCTGTTCCCTTACTACAAAACTACCACCACTTAACAAGACCCACCTTTGGAATTCCCCAGGAAAACGATGCTGACCTTGTGAATTTAACGTCTGTTCCATTATCACTAGATCACCAAAAGTTAGCTAACGAATTTCGGGATAGATTTCAAGCAGCTGAGTGTACTACGTTTTACGTAAGGATTGTGATATAGTTTCTCTCACGTTCTCATTGCATCAAAGCTCGCCGGTGATGTTTAGGCTGGTCACATTCAACATGCCAGGTCACGTACACTCGTTGTAACTCTTCGGAAAAATCCCAATAACCGCTTTTCGCATCCAGTTTTTATCAAAGCTCAATTATCTTCGAGCGCCTGGCATGAACCGCTGAGTTAAACGCTGCATTGGGTAAACCGACTTTGGTATGAAACGGTCGATTTCACAGACCATGGGAAGTTGTGTCGAGAACAATGACTGTTTCTCCCTTTGTGAAGCAAGTGGCGGAACACATCTCTTTTCTTCCTGAAAAACCCTCAGATAAGGACTTGGATAAATCATCTGATGGGCGCAACCAGAAATCCACTTCAAAATATGTTCGCGCCGTGTGGTCAGTGGCCAGATGATGCTGCGATTAATACCGCAACCCGCGAAACGGAATATTACGAAACATACCGAGCTGCCTCCTCACATCATTAACAGCTGTAAGAAAAACGTACGTGTCGTACAGTGGTCTTAGCTGCCAAAATTTCGCCCTTGAAGAGTAATGGTCCAGGATAACCACGTGACAAGGGCCTATTCCGAGTTAGTGGCCTTTGGATAAGCCGTGAGCTAACCAGCCACGATACACTTGCGCATCTCGCCTTCGATGGTACCGTTATATTTCGGCCTCGAATTACACGCTATTCTGCTGGGTAGGGCATGAGTACTGCATGGTTGGGTGACTTCTATCTGGAATGGTTTTTAGCAGGGAGTCTCGATAACACCAGCTGAAAACGTTTTGTGGAATGAAATGCACTCCTTATGAGTTAGCGGCCTTTTATTCAGAGATCTTATAGATGAGAGTCTACCATGCTTGGGGTTTTTATGTATTCGACGTGTTTTATTCGTTTTTTCGCACCTGCACTATAGTCTACGGAGCTCCTCAGGACAGTTAAATTAAGACTCCTAGTGCGCTATTTATGTATCGAAGCAAAATAAGTAGCTCTTGTGCTTTCTCATTCAATTCTCACAGTAGTTGGCCTTCAACTTTTAGCGTTCACAGGGCGTTCATTCGGCGAATGACGCTTGTTTAAACTAAAATACCTGTCCAGTGGTCGAGGCTACTGTTAGACAGGAATCCACACGGATCCCGCTATAATGCACGTCTTCAGGCGCGGCTACGGCCGATAAGCCTAGCCCGTACGAAACTGGCCAAGAATTCGGGACGCTTGTCGGTCCGGCATCAAGACGAAATCTGATTGGTCGAGAATCTGGACCAACAGCCAATCATGACCCAGTATTGCCCAAATGCCGGTTGCGCATCGAGAACGCGTCAGACATTCCAGAAAGTTATAACCGCCTACGCTATATATACGAAGCGCTGTAGAACTGTTCCTGACTTCGTTTTGGGCATTAATAGACCTTGTGCACCTTTGGTGGTTGTTTTGACGTAAACGCTGGCTTGGGAGGCTCAGACCGAGAACTAAGCTGAGGAAAATACCGTTACTACAGCTACCCAAGAAACTTCAACTAATCACATGCGTAATGTGAGAACGATCGTCATTGGAACAAGCGATGGACCACTAAAAACGGCAGAAAATACACCACCTGTGACTTGAGTGACGTACGCATTTCGGACGGATGAGCTGAGACAGGGACGAATCGGAATACCCATGGGTGCAGTGACAAACAATCCAAGATTTCAACACGTCATATGATTAGGGCAGTTTTGAGAGTTCAGATGATCAATGCGTGAAGATATAGTTTGGTAAACCTAGACGATTCGGAGAACAAGGGAAAAAGTGAGCTGGTAGAGCCACACACACAAGCTGAAGATCCACTACAAGGGGTCCGTTAGGCGCCATGTATGAAATGCCTGTATGGAAAGAGAGGATGAAGAGAGATCTGAGTAAATGAACATTGCAGGGCACAGTGCTTTTATTGGGCAGAGAATTTTCGTCACTTATTCAATACTACTTGCGAGTAGATGAAATTAATTGCGGAAATACAGTCTGTAACGTCTTAAGCGCGAGTAAACCAACTAGTCTGAATGAAGACGTTTCAGGGAGATGGGGTGGATTGATGAACACAGCTCGACTGGACAAGGTACAGTGCACGGAGGAAACATTGTGAGCAACAGATTGGCGTCGAGCGTGTTTGCTGCGACAGCCAATTATGTGGATCTGTGTATGCGCCAAATTACTCAGCGAAGTAGTCGTGCCGTGGTACAATGCAATCCTTATCAGATGGACGTACCTTCCTCCATGGGATGTCACCAGCTTCACACCGTTTTGAGGATGCTAGGTAGGAGTACGTGCAGTCCAACACCAATTTACAATCTAAGATGATGTGGACCGATGGGCAAATGAACCTCCTGCTGGTGATGTTCCAGGACATTCAGCTGATGACGTTTGGAAACACCGTAAACAAAAGTACCGCCTGAATCTGACGTTATCATTATTGTAGTTTACACATAATTGTTCGTATATTCCATAGTTTTGTAGGGGTCTTGTTGTGTGCCAAGCCCTTGAGTTTATATTTTGGTACGTTATCATGAAGGTCATTCGCGCCAACGTGTCTAGTGGGTCAAACCTGTTGGCTAAGTCGTCAAGTAACTGATCCTACCACACCCACCTGATTATACCGAATCGGGGTAAAAAGCATGGCCGATTGGTTTTTCCCATATCCCAGTTCTACAGTTGGTCGTTTGGTCCATAAAACGGCAAGAGAGGCCAGATGGGATTATCCAAAAGGGCTGGTTTGCACGAGGACACCAAGCTAAATTGCGTTACCTTCGGGAAAGCACGTCATTCAGTAGTGTGTGGTCCAGTCACGACACATCATCACAATCATCGATTTATTCGAACTCGGGACGAAATGGCAGTAAAATGCTGTCTCTCTAATGGCATTGGTTAGGTGGGTAGGAGTAATCGTAATCCATGTTCACCGCTGGATGATTTTTCCCCTAATTCGCATTGAATACGTGAATCATAGGTAGCCGTTACGAGAGCAACGGGTAATAGACAGAGGTCAACAACATTGGTAACGACTATGGTCAATATCGAAAATCCAGTAACGGAGTAAGCACTATTACGAGGTCACAATCAGGCGAGCGCTGCAATCACTTGGACAACAGATACCGATAGGTACTGGGCATTCAGATGAATAGAAATCGATGGTGCGACAAAAAATGTTCTTCTCTTAATCAAACCAATAATTTTTCTCGGTGTTCCACACATCGGGATTCGATCAACGAAAACTAACTAACCATGTACAGGAACTTCATGCAGACTACGGTCTTAATTCTTTTGGTAAGCCTGCTCGACTAGTAATACGACGCAGGACAGCGAGCATACTGTCTTCTTGCTCAGCCGTCTTGTCGGCAGACTCAACCGCGCGTGCGACATCAACTGCAGAACGCTGTCCAGTGCCCACAGGACCATTCCGCCGCTCCCATAGCATTCGATGCTTCTGCTTCATGAACGCATGCGAAACATCCGTGTTCCATGAAAGTTCTCCATCTGTGAAATGAAGGATTGGGGTGGTGAAAAAAGATGGAGAAAGATAAAATTCAAAGGCCACAAAATGCACGAACGAATTAGGAACACAAGTTGCCCACACCGATGACTGAATTTCCCAAAGAAGGATAGTCAAGGATACAACTCCTCAATCCGTGCTATAGAAACATGTGAAGCAGGGGGGGGGGGGTACGTAAGCACTGTAAAAATGTCTGATAATGAAGAAACAAAAGTCCAGAAACTAGTGGCCGGAAGGAGGGTAATAAATCTTGGAAGAACAAAGCTCATTAAAAAAGAGGCAGGTTTCGGTGCGTGGGAGCAATCACACAAATGTGGAGGAATAGCATAGAAGGGAAGTCTCAGAGTTAATGCCACCAACAACCATAGTTCGGACACTTGCAAGGGCTGGAGAAAATAATCTAAGGATGGGCCACATCTATCTCACTGTGAGTAGTTTTTGGCACGAAAATATTTGCCGTCAACAAGCGAAGGACGAGCTTGTTCGTACAATCAGAATGTGGAAGGAACTATTACGCTCGAGTTACAAATGGCCCATTTATTCGCTCAGTACCTGGTCAAAGTTAAGTTCTGATATATGAAATGTGCGCAAGCGGTGCACTGTACCGGATTGCTAGAATGGTCATCGGGGACAAGACTCTGTTTGGTGTACTTCATCGGACACGCAATAAAAGAATGCTGGTCAAATATGAAAGAATTGTCGTGCTCGTGGGCAGCTGTCAGAGAGAAGATTAATTATTAAGATAATAAGCATGTGTTTCTCGCTCTGAATACGGCTATCAAACTTCACCCGCTTGATGAATGGACTACCGAAAACAAGCAGTCTCGTTGGAGAAACGCGATAACTAAGTGGGTTAGTAAGGTAGGTGGACAGTTGTGAGATGAGAACGTGGTTTTTCCATGAATAGCTGATAGATTGGGTGCCGCTATATCGCTTCACTAGAAGTCCAGTTGAGTCGTGATTTCCACTACACTCCCCCAAACCGTGAGAAAGGATCTGATGAGGCAAACCACATCGCAAAGAAACTGGGCACTGTCTCAATGTGACGGTTTGTGTAACCGCATGAATGAATAAGCTAAAACACAGATTGGTCAGTGGATAGAGGGCTGACTAAATGGTCTCTCAGTGCTTCACGTTGGGGTCTGGAACATGCACCGTCGATTTCGCAATATATAAATGTCACAGCTAAAGCAAAAGGAGGGATTTACAGGAAAGTACAATTCACGGCACTCCATAGGCTTCCTCGTTACTGTAGGATTCACAGTTTGGTTGTTGCCTAAAATGGTCACCCAAGCCCAGCTAATGGAAGATTTGCCTGGTCCTATCCTTCACAAGGTGACGTCTCTGCTCCTCTTTTTCAGAATTTATCAGTGTATAGGTGCAACATTCGCAATTCGGGTACGTCAGTACTCATCCTCCCTATTCTGTTCGTGCTGTTCCTCGCCGAAACCCGAATATCCGGAGCTCGTGATCCCATCCATCCCGTTACCGAACTATTTGCTGGTTCATTATTCCAGGTTCAAGGGAAGAGCCTCATGCAGTCTCATTGTTTATCGGTCGCTGAACGGCAGTGGTGCATCTGCCTATATTCTTCTTGCACGTCAAATTGTCCTTTGCAAAACTCTGCGTTCTCGAAGACTTCAACGTCCGTGAATCGGATTGATAACCCTGTTTTGTTTGTTTCCCTCACAACATCGTTGACACTGCTCAAATTCTAGATCTACTCATGACCATGCAATATCCCTGTGTTGTGAAATATAGGCCCCTCTTTCTTAGTATTTCCCAGACGACTGGAATGGTGATTTTTTAAAATCTGTTCATCGGACTGTAGTTTTTCAGATCATTCCGCAGACCGTACTAAATCACGAAGGTTCTTCATGACAGTTTGAATCCAAGCAAACAAGGATCTCCCGGCTGGATCGACTGCGTGTGTCATCGTGCGTTTAAAGAAAAACAACTGTTGACTATATTGCCGCGTATGGTTCAGTGATTATGCAATCCGCGGGGGCGAGATGGACCAAGTGGTTAGAGCACAAATTTACCGACCGGAAGGTCCATGGTTCGAGCCCGACCTCTGCCTCTCAACTTCCCCTGTCTAGGCTTGGGCAGTATCCCAGCCCTCGTGCTTCCTTCGGGTGGCATGGCAACTAGGCACCGAAAGGGTGCTACAGCTGAGCGATTACGCAATCCGGCTGTAATCGGAAGAACCAGAGGTATGTTCATTGATCACAGGCCGGATCAAAAACCAAACGCTCCGAATAGAATTCAATCATTTTGAAGGCTGACCTAAGCAACAATCCTTCTCTTTTCCTCTCATATGCGATTATGATAACAATTTCAATAAGTAGGTGGGAGTTTTTGTACGACTTTTAAGTTGCACTTCTCTTGCAACTCAAAACAATTTGTCCGTCTTTCCTCCTTCATCAAAGCATTTTCCATTGCTTTTATTCACCATGAGGAATGTTCGCGATTCCCTGTCACATCTCGACAACTTTCAATCACCTGACCATTGCAATATCCACGTACCTTTACCAAGGACGTTCTGGAACTTTTCCGTTTTTAGGTACTTTCCCGTCATGTTGTGAGAACATTCATAAGCCCTACTCGTCCTCAAAAGTGGTTTCTACATGAGTCCACTAACTACCATCCCATTTGTATTACTGTCCATTCTACCTAGGGCTGTGGAGTTCATCCTTTTTGAAACAACTCTTGTGGATCAATACCCTGCTGATTAGGCTCCCCACAAACCTCTCATGTCGAGAAGCCTCGGTGGGTTATGGAAACTTGGAGACACTTGAATTTGCCGTCAGTCTCATCGATGGTAACATCGGTTTTCACTATGATGGTCCTATCCGCGAAAAAATAGCACCGTTGATTTAGAATCGAACTCTAGATCTTTCTTTCTAAAGACGAGTGCTTAGGCTACTTGGGGCTGTAAGCAATGGAGCATAACTATCACACTTGGCTGAGATATATTTGTTGTCCTAGATTGGGCTTGGTTTGATGAAGAAATTTCGGGTAGGTCAACGAGAGATTCTAGGTGGGGGCTAGATGGCTCAGCGGTTAAAGAGCGAACTTACTGACCGCAAGGTTGGTGGTTCAAACCCGCCCTCTGCATCTCGACTCCCCCTGTATACGATTGGGCAACTTGACAGTATCGCAGCCCTCGTGCTTCCTTCTGGTGGCACGGCAGTTAGGCACCGAAATGGTGCTACAGATGAACAACAAGTGGCTCTTTGACGTACACTAAACAAACATCACTTACAAAGGTCATGCAAGAACGGAGTAAACAATGTTCACCACAACGATGATTGTCAGGGCGAACATCTCATTTCCAGCAACAGGAGGCCGGTTCACTATACAGGAAATTAGTGGATAACGGAGACAGGTAGCTAGAAAGAGAAGCGTTCACCTGAGGGTCGACTAAATGTGCAACAAGCTGACTTCGTTTGGAAGTCCATTCTAACAATACGGCAGTGAAGCATCGGTGTTCAACACTGATGTCATGCTGTCCATGATGGTGATGATGACTAACAATTTGGCAAGATCACTAACTCAGTTTGCAAAGCGACTGCAGATAACGCTAATAAACAAGTCGATGGCAGTTCGAAGCTGATCCAGGGGGTACAAAGATGAACTCCCACTAGCACGTGGAAAACAATCGATCGAGAAGTCTGCCTTCCGTTCTCCTTCACAGGTGGCGCTGCTGCGGGGGTCAGGAAGCAACAAGACAAGACGAATAGAAGACAAAGACCAATGGCGACGAATTCATCAACCATAGGTGTTACTCCTCTAGCGATCAGCAGACCCAGTTGAGCTGCATCATGCATACACAGGTAGATGCCGGTATGACGACAGTGAATAAGCGATAGAAGGAAATGAGATACGAAGATTTTGTACACAAGTGGGTTAAACTTGCGGACAAAAAAGGATACAGGGCGGAATAAAGTGGGACAAAGACTCACACTTTATAAAGAAATTGACCGCAGCCTCCTCATGGTCCATGGTAATATCCTTGCAAAACCGCTGAACGTCCTCTTCTTCGAATTTATACCATGCCCTGCATTCATCTCGACGTCGTCTTAAAATGCGGAGGATGTTCCTATCCACAGCTCTGAGCAGACGAGAGAGAGAAACGAAGGCGAGTGAATATGTGAGGACCGGAACTGACAGACATACCAATCTATGCTTATCTTAAGAATAGGGAAGTCCCCTAGAAATGAATGCTTCGGTATACTCCAAAGGGTCCAGAAACGATAGGTAATAGGTGATGGCATCAGGGGAAATCTTCTGGACTGACACGCTGTCAGGGCACGCCCAGACAGAAGAAAAAGTACATGTGCACAGAGTGACGCATCCCCAAGGTCACCATCGGTTCGACACGTCCGGAAAGTAGGTGAGTCGGCGGCTCCCACCAAACACGGCCTAGCAACACACGACCAGCGTAGTGGGCCTGAGATTGTTCACGACCGGAACACCAACATTGGCTGTATGGAGCGAACAAGTGAACGGCCATATTTGGCCGTTTAGTCATCCTATATATCTACGCAGAGGCTCTGTACGTTTTTGTCCTGGCAATACAGCCGTGTCCCCGGTTCTCTGTCTTCTCCCTATCGCGTAGTCTGGCAGGCTCAGTGCAGGCATAACCAATAGCTCGGCCACCGCAAGATACAACACACGCTTTGTAGCGTCTCTAATTATGCACCATGGGGATCACGAGGACTTTATTTTGGAGAGCGAGGCTCACCCACAGTACCAAGACTTTCCGTGATCTCTTTCAGACCCTGCTGCCACAACAAAGGTTGACCACATCTCCGCTTGCGCCACTATGCATTGAGTACCTAAAAAGAGAACAATTCGGCATGCGCATCTATTGCGCATCGTCATCTGACGAGACCACGGCGGCTTCTGTAGCTTAGATTGAGGTCCCTACTGCAAAACTGTTACGGTTCTGTCACACAGCGAGCAAACAATATGATAATGCGGATTGTGGCAATACTCTATCCCCAGCTATGTTGCTTGATCCAGACTCCTAGCACGGCGAATAGTAAGAAGACGAAAACCTCGGACACAAACTTTAATAATCCAACAACACACGATCAACAGGCGATGTCCGGAGCTTCCGAACCCAAGTCAGTGGAAAGAATGGTATCCTGTACGTGGTCGGATTTAAATTTCCTTGGAGTATCAATATAGGCCATTGATTCTTCATAGTTGGACCTTGAACATGCCGGGAGTTCACTAGCACACATAAAAACACAGCGTTTTCTGGGGGATATTGATATCCCCAACACCTCCCCTTGTGAAAAGTCAGTAACGTACTCGACGGGGGTCGACCTGGATACGCTCCGGCTGGCGGCGGCGTCGGTCTGTCCACCGCCTGGGAAGAAGTGTTGGATCAAATCCTGAGCTGCCGGTCACACTCTCCTCTTTCGAAGCTGTCTCAGTTTTCAGCTCAAAAGTATCGAGCAATATGTCCAACGGTATGCTACCCGAACATACTTGAGTTTCCGGCGTGCTGTTAAAGCGGAGTTGGTTTTGATGTCTGGTCCAGGTGTCTTGACCAACCGACACGTCGTACATTACACTACCGCGTTTGCGCAGGATACGACCTGCAATCCATGAATCATGTCCTGGGCGATAGTCACGGACAAGCACGGGCGTTCCCACCTTGAATGGAGTTCCAACTGCCACCGGTATGGACCTTGACTCAGTAGGTTGTGTTGGCAACATGGAAGAATGCACAGTTCTAAGTTTACGGCCCATGAGTGCCTCTGCAGGTGACTGGTGGTTTGCCAAAGCGTCATTCGGGGTCGTTCGGTACACAAACAGGAATCTCTGAAGGGCTTCGACGGATGTCTCCTCCCCTCGAGCTTTAAGCAAAGCCCTCTTGAATGTGTCGACGAACCTTTCTGCTTGACCGTTCGATTGTGGGTGGTACGGTGGTGAACGAACGTGTGTTATCGCATGTCGAGTGCAGAAGTCGCGGAACTCAGCAGAGGTGAACTGCGAACCATTGTCTGAGACTATGGACTCCGGTAATCCATGCTGACTGAAAATGTTGGATAACACTCTCAGCGTACTAGATGTTGTTGGAGATGACACCGGAACGATTTCTGGCCACTTGGAAAAAGCGTCAATCAAAACCAAATAAAAAGTGCCATTTATCGGTCCTGCGTAATCAATGTGGATCCGAGACCAGGGCTTTTCAGGTCGAGGCCAGGGAACCGGTGGTTGGTGTGGCGGATTCTTTGAAGCTTGTTGACATCGGGAGCAGCGTTTTACAAAATCAGTGATGTGCTGGTCCATGTGCGGCCAGTATGCGTAACTGCGAGCTATTGACTTCATACGGTTGATTCCTGGATGTCCAGAATGGAACTGACGAAGAACTCGATGGCGTAAAGGTTGCGGAATCACCACGCGATCTCCAAACATTAAACAATCTTTTACGATCGCTAATGCATCTCGGCGATGAAAGAGCTGTCGAAGGGAATCATCTTTGAGATTCGAAGGCCACCGAGAATTCATGAATCGGATCACCTTTTGAAGCGTTCCATCAGCTGTGGTAGCTCTTTGAACCTCTGTTACTGTCACGGGCAGGGCACGAACGGACTGGACCAACTGTGGGTCGGCTGGGTCCTCAAATGCAACATGCGCAATAACCGTGTCTTCTTCGGGTGTTGGCTGGTTGTTGATCAGCCGAGATAATGCATCGGCCTGACCGAAGTCGGTGGTGCGTCGATATTGAATATCGAAGTCATAACCCAGCATAATCAGGGCCCATCTTTGCAGGCGGTTGGCAGAGTGTACGGGAACACCTTTCCTTGAGCCGAAAATGGAGAGCAATGGTTTATGATCGGTAAGTAGGGTGAAACGGCGGCCATACAACATTTTGTGGAAACGCCGAACCGCGAACACTAAGGCCAACGCTTCTTTCTCTATCTGTGCGTATCGCTGTTCTGCTGGGGTTAGTGATTTCGACGCATGCATAATGGCCCTCTCCGATCCGTCTGGAAAGACGTGTAGAATGACGGCACCGACACCAAAATTAGAGGCATCAGCTGCCACAACGATCGGCAGCTTTGGGTCGTAGTGGGTAAGTAGCAGATCAGAACTGAGCATCGTCTTTAGTTTGCAGAATGCTTCCTCGCATTCGTCTGACCAACACCAGGGGACATCCTTTCCAAGCAACCGATTTAGCGGGGGCCGGATGTCGTGCAACGAAGGCAGGAATGCCGAATAGTAGCTGATTAACCCCAAAAGGGAACGTAATGATAGTACATCCTTAGGAGGTGGCATCTGCTGCCCTCTTGCAACATTCGGGTTACATGATAGTGGGGCCCCGAAAGGGTGCTACAGCTGAACGATTATTTATTATTATTATTATTATTATTATTATTACTATTATTATTAAATCGAAGGTGTTGTGGCCAAGACCGACATAACGTGGGATGGGTTAGCAGTCTTAATGAATGTGCATACAATGAATGTGCATACGTTTTGCTTACCGCTTTGCTTTATGCACTGCGTAAGGCGACCCGGCAAACTACACAACGCGGCGACCAATGTGGCATACTTTTGGTTGTAAGAACCATTATTGTAGGATACTTCCGTGGCGTCCACCTATTGAGAGGGTAATTAGAGTCCTCGGAGAAACCCGTTGACTCAAAATACTGACCATAAGGCAGCGGTGTTTGGTGGGAAAGGCAAGTGCTTAAAAATTTTTAAGGAAAAAAGTTGAAATAGGCGTTCTAACCCCCAACCTGTATTGGCCAGACTTCTAACCGTTAACGAAGCTGGTAGGAGATCCTTCGAATGTCACATGCCCAGTATAGCTCAGAGGGCCAGGGAGGCACACAAACTGTCAGTGAACGGTAACGTTCATTCTCTCCGGGACTGTCTGATAGAAGCCACCCTGTTTAACCTGAACTGTCTGTCGGAGCACAGACTGATACAAAAAACATGTCCAGATGCAGTGATTTTAATTAAGCCAGTCAACCGAACAGTACAATAACCACTAATTGCTGGAATTAAGTTCAGGAGAGTGCATT